GGTAATTTAATTATTTCATTAGCTAATGACACTATCTGAGGGTATACATGCAAAATTTCAACTCAGTGTGATCATTCGTTCCCTAGTAATCCTCAGTGAAAGATGACCATAATGACTGACACAACAATGCTGAAGAAAATCGAGCACCGTGTTGTGATTAAGTTCCTTACAAAACAAGGAAAAAGTCAAAAAATCATTCACAAGGAGATGGTAGTCGTTTACCAGGACTTTGCACCTTCATTATCTACTGTTCAAAAGTGGTCGAGTGAATTTAAAAGGGGCAGAGAAAGCATTGAAGATGACCCTCGCTCGGGCAGACCAGTTACTGCCACTACGAAAGAAAATGTGAAAAAAATTGAGAAACTTGTATTGGAAGATGCCCGAATAAAAATCAAAATGTTAGCAGAGTTGACAAACCTATCCGTTGGTACCATATTTACTATTTTTCATTACCATCTTGACCTTTCAAAGGTCTGTGCAAGATGGGTGCCACGAAGGCTCATGGCGCCTCAGAAACAAGTGCGAGTCGAGTGCTATAGGGAGTTTTTAGAGCTCTGTGGTGAAGATCCATCGAGTATTTTCGACCGGATTGTTACTGGAGATGAAACTTGGGTTCATCACTATGACCCTGAAAGTAAGCAGGAGTCCATGCAGTGGCATAAAAAAGGTGCTGACCCTCCAAAGAAATTCAAAGTCACTCCATTGGCCAGAAAAATCATGGCCACAGTGGTTTGGGACTCAAAGGGAATTTTATTGATCGAGTACACGAAAAAAGGTGAAACCATAAATGCAGCATCTTATGCAACCACTCTGTGTAATTTAAGAGAAGCAGTTAAAGAAAAAAGGCGGGGGAAACTGACCGCAGGTGTGTTGCTTCTTCATGACAATGCACCCGTTCACCCAGCACGTGTTTCAAAGGCTGCTGCGCGAGACTGTGGTTTCAAAGAAATAAACCACCCACCCTATAGCCTGGACCTGGCCCCCAGTGACTACCACCTATTCCCTAATTTAAAAAAAGATCTTTGTGGAAAGCAATTTTCTGATGATGAAGAGCTCAAGGAGGCAATTAACACACATTTTTTAGAAAAGGAGGAAGGGTATTTTTACAGGGAATTGAAAAGTTAATTTCTAGATGTAATAAGTGTACTGAAGTTACGGGGGATTACATTGAAAAATAAAAATTATTTCAATTTGTTATTCTTTTTTCTTCATGCTGATACCGAGAATACACTGAACACCCCTTGTATTTTAGTAATACATGTAACATTTCTCTTGCAACATCCAGGTTTCCAAATGTCTTAACAGAAGGCCAATATACCTATTGTTTTTAGAAACATTAAATGTGCATTCAAATTAATATCTTTACTCATGAGTGACCCTGAACCCACACAGCATAGACCAGATGGCCAAGCTCACAAAATTATCTGGCAAATATTTATAATATATAGACACTTGAACAACATATGACATTGAAAGATAAATAGCATTCCTATTCATAGAAGAGCTTATAAGTATGACTATTGTGTCAAATTCTTCACCAAGCCAGAACAAATTCCTGCCTGCAATTCCTAAAATATCATTAATCAATTATTGGTTTTAAGTCAATGAGTTTACCACAGTTCTGACAAACCTACAGGTTTTGCCTCTGAGTCATCAATTTAAATTTGATTGAAATAGAATAGAAATGAGATCCTTGTGTCCAAGTGCAAGCTGAGTTGCTATCCAGACAGCCTGGGGTGGCCAGTTCACTTACCTTGAGTCCAGCAAAAACTTGATGGCCCAGGAAATGGAGAGCATTCCAATGAGAGAATGTAACTGTACATCATGGGCATGAGCTTTAGTAAAATAAATCTAAGCCTAACTGAGAACATGTCTGCCCATGTCCAGGAACTTCGCACAGTCCAAATCTAGTGATACTACAAAAATCTTTGCACAGGCACAGTCCATTCCACTTAAGAATTTTCAGGCTGCCATCTATTGATTATGGGTAACTCCTTCTCAATTTATTATGGGAAATCCTCTTTACATGGGTTCTCACCCTTCCATTTTCTTCCCAATTGTTAGTATTCAGAAATATAGTTTAGTTTATGGGAAGCAGTTCAGTCAATGGTAAGATGTTGGATGTTTGTGGGTATGTTTGATGTTATACTTTAATAAGATTTTGTTTATACTCTGTATTTACTACTTTCAGCCACTTTTGAGTACATTTCGTAGTGGAAAGAGGACGATATAAATTAAATGAACAGTTACTCTCTGCATGTCTAATCATTTTTACAGCCATCTAGCCAATAAGTATTATCACATGTTGTACCAATGATGTGTTATGTTTTCAATGTATTGCCAAACAGCAATATTAAAAGGGGCAAAAACATAGCAGTATAGGAATGTTTTAAAAAGTCAATGTTTAAAAAGACTGCAGAATCTAATAAATAGGAAGAAATCTGCTTTATTGCATATAATAGAATTTGAAATAAGAGGCTGTGAATCATGAATAAAAATTGAAGCAACAGGCAAAATGTTCTCCTTCCAGATTTACAGAAAATGAATCTCAAAGTGTCTTTTGTAAATAGAAAGAGCAGGAAACAGCAGGGGCAGGCAGAATGACAGCAAAAGTGTTTTATTATAATTTAATAAAAAAGTTTTCTTGGGAGCAGGAGAGGGAATGAAAATTTCCTTCACACTTTGGAAAGAGGCAGGGGCCCTGCTAATAGTTGATGGTTTCCCCAGTGTCTATGTGAGACTTTTGGCATCCACTGCAACACTGGCTACAAGTGAAGCATGTTATAATTCCCAGAAGAATAACAGAACCACATATAAGAACAAATGCACAAAGGGAAAGTACTGCTGTAGGGGCCAAATCTGGACTTTGCTGCAGTCAGTGCTTTAGACCAGGTTTTGTCTTGTTAAACTCACCCCAGATTACAGTTCACTTTCTTTGTACTGAAAACTCAGTGTACATCACTGACAACAAATCCAGTCTGTTGCCCACATATGGCGTGATGTTTCTCAGTCATGACAAATATCAAAATGAGTCAAAATGGTGGGAAGAGAATTCAGCAATTAGTGAAAGGTTGGGAAATAACAGATAAATAGAAGAGAACAGCCAAGGCATAGCCTTAAGGAATCTGGTACTGAAACCTTGCTGCAGCTGGGAATGATTAGTTTTTGTCAGTGACTGAAAGGAAGGCCACTGATGTATGCCACTTGAAGCTCCCCAGAGGGAAGATAAGATAGAACTGTAAATAAGTGAAGATTTAAGAACAATCTGTTACTTGTATGTTTGATTTTGCTTTTAGAAACACAGACCAAATTTTAACTCCATGATGAGCTATATATCCAATAGCAAAGTTATGGAGAGCCTAACTGGACATACATATACATTGAATCTTCCACAACAGTATTTTCCTGACACCACAATCATAGCCTCAAAACAATATTGACTCTAGCACCCTGGAAATACCCTACTTTTGCTCTGCTAAAACCTCCAAAAAGAAAACTTATTTATGTGAAGAGGCTTACAAATTTGAACCTATCAGCCATAAAATTAAGCTATACGGGGTTTGAGAAACCTGCTCATCAAGGAATGTCTGATCACTCTTTCACATAAGGTTTTTAAATTCAGGTCAAATTATGTTCTTCTGAGCTACAACATAGAGTGTTGCTATTCCAGTTTCAATTCCAGTATAAAGTGCCTTTAAAGATATTACTTAGTGGGATTTCTGCATGAAAGGGCTTAACTGACCTTCAGACCTACAACTACTTCCTGCATTTAACTTCAGAAATGTATTTTAATCAAATGTATTTTATATTATTTTCAGTCTCTGTTGGTTTTTTCAAGTTTAGTATTTTGTTTCAAGCAAGCACCAGTCTTCAAAGCATCTTTGGGAAGAGAGAAAACATCTTCTATGGACTTAGAACATACAAGTCCAGAAGGAATTTCCTTTATAGTTTATACAGCAAATAAACCTGTAAAGTTTATCCAAAGCTGCCGCCCCCACCCCCCAAAAAAGTGAGGCCATAACAAACTAGTATATTTTCACCAAATTACAGCAATAGGTAAGATATTACTAGGTATCTTAAAAGCAGGTAAAAGCCTCAGGGAATCAAATGATATATTTTAAAAAATCTGAGAAGTACTCATTCAGCTTCAGCAATTCTTATACCAAATTAAACCGTATAACATACTAAAAGAGGCATCATGAAAGCCTTAACAAGGAACTGCTGCAGTTTCAGTTCCTTACTACTGGGATGAAAATAAATATTACTGAACTACAAGATCAGGAGAAGACTGACAAGAGGAAAAGAATTTAGAATAAATATATGCATACATCTGTAAAGAAACAGTTTCAGCTGCCACAAGAAAAAAATTACTGAAATTTCCAGCTCCTAAAATGCCTTTCTGGTTGATATGCTGGCCAAACAGTATTCTGACACATCCCATGGAGTCAAAAGGAATACAGCTAGTATCACTTCTTCTTAAAGGGAAACAAGGTCCTAGATTACTATATGTGATGTAAAAGGTGCCAATGTATGCCTTGGACAGATTTAGGTTTCTCAAACCCATAGATCCTCCAAGTTTCCTATTTGTAAACTTCTCAGAGAATATCTATCAACATCCCAAAATAAACAAACAAACAAACTTTAACCAACAAGTGCTTGTTATTTCATTCTGATTGCAATTAGCTTTTTTCTACAAAAGGTCTAGGGCAGTAGTATCTACTATTTAACACAGGAACCAAAAGCATGCTCCTCAAATAAAGGATGCAAAGCTACTATACAAGTCCACCTGACAACCCATTTCAATATATGTTTCATGCCTGAGGGAGGAAAAGGCAGGTTGTAGTTCTGTTATTCTTCTAAAGTACCCAAGCTTTCAAAATTTTAAAAATAAACTGTTTGAGGATTCTCCTGATATTAAACAACTTCCTATTTGCAACTTTATTAGCAACATGTCTACAAGTACTGAAAACATTACGTTAAATATAGGAAATAAATCTTACTCTGCAATATCAAGATATCCACAGGAAGAAGCTGCATGTAGAGGTATCCAGCCTTCATTATCTGGTTGATTAATACTGGCTCCATTTTCCACCAGAAATTTCACCATATCTATGTTATCATCTATGCAAGCCTATAAACAGAAGAAAGAAGGGTTAAAAAGTTGTGCAACCAATTTTCCAAATGAAACTGTTTGACAACAAATGAAAACAGATCCATTCCGCAGCCAAAAACAACAGGCAATCTTTAGCACATACTACTCTTATTCACAAGTTATTGATGCTGAATTAATTTGCCCTCAATTCCTTTTTATTCATCCTTCAATTGTCATTTTGAGTTCAGTTTACTTGTCTGCTGTTTAGTCTTTAAAAAAGTTTCTCTGCAAGCTCACAGACAACCTTGAAGGAAAAGAAGAACATACTGAGAATGTTCCCACATTATACATTCACAAGGCAGTAAAGTTTTCAGACATATGAAGTACCCAGGTATATTCAGTCTTTCTTTCATTGATACAATTACATTATGACTCTTCCCTACCATGAACTATCCTAGTACACTTCATTTGTTAACAGCATGTTTGGAACAAATCAGAACCTGAAGATCAGGGTTCCACAATGTAACTTTTATCTCTAGTCAACATAGCAATTAGAAGTTACAGTATACGATTTATCAAGGGTACTGGCAGCTGTAGACAAGAAAAAAAATCTGCCTTAAAAGTTAGAACACCCTCCTGAGAGAAAATGTACATACAAAATGACATAGCAAACAAGTGGAGACCAACAGGTACACTGATTCAGTTTTCTTTAGGGCAGGGGTGTCCAAACGTTTTGCAAGGAGGGCCAGATTTGGTGAGGTGAAAATGTGTGGGGGCCGACCATTCAGCCTGATATTCTTTGAAACATTAACATTAAATGCAAATGAACTATTTTATGAAAGACTAAACAAATAACTTAACTGCACTAATGTGAAGGGTGATACTGAGATCTCGACTGCATTATATAGGCCAGGTCTGGCTCAAAAACAGTGGTTTTGATGCGCAAGATGTCACACAGGTGAAAGTCACTCAGTCTCGTGCTCACGTGGTTCTTGTTAATGTTCATAACCGAGAATGTCTTCTCGCACAAGTATGTCGAACCAAACAAGCTCAGCATTTTCTTAGCAAATGTTCTAATCTCTTGGAACCGGTCTTTATCCAGCTGGCAGTAAAAGTTGACAAGAGGGAGCTGTTGGTGCCAACTGCGACACTTGGTGTCACACTGCAGCTCAATGAGCTCCAGCTGCAGGTGGTCTGGAGCGTCATCAGGCTCCACAGAGAAAGGAGATGAAAAAAGCGTGATCTCTTTTTCAATAGCTGCAAAATCCCAAAAGCGCTGTTGAAACTCCTCAGCCAGAGATGAGATGTCTGCTTCATACCTCCTTATTTGCACACTCATATTGTTCTGTGGAAAACTGGTCATTATTTCCTGCAGCGATGGGAAATGTGTGGTATTGGGCTGCGTTTGTGACAGGTGCCTTTGGAAAAGTAGCAGCTTGGTCCCAAAGGCTTTGATATGTGAATGCAGTTGGCTTACCACTGCATTTTGCCCCTGAAGGCTCGTGTTCAGCACGTTCAGATGTCGTGTTATGTCATCTAAAAATCCAAAATCAGTCAGCCAAACAGGATCAGATAGCTCTGGCATCAGTTGTCCCTTTTTTGCCAAGAATTGTCCGATTTCCTCCCTAAGAGAGTAGAAGCACTGCAGTGCAGACCCCCGACTGAGCCATCTTACCTCATTGTGATACACAACATCTCCGTATTCAGCCTGGATGTCGAGTGGAAACTGTTGAAACTGGCAGTGGCACAGGGCTTTGGAGCGAATATAATTAATAGCCTCCATCACCGGTTTCATAACATGATCATATTTCAGATGTTTGGCACAGAGAACTTGTTGGTGAATAATACAGTGGAGTTTTATAGCTTTGCCTCCTTCTTCGCTGACTTTATTACAGACTAGGGTTGATAATCCACTTCGCTCGCCAGCCATGGCAGGTATGCCATCCGTAATAATCCCAGTGACTTTATTCCATGGTAGTTTCATGTCATCTACAGCAGAACGAACAGAAACAAATAAATCTGTTCCTCTTGATTGGTCCTTAAGGCTCTGGAGGTCAAGTAGCTCTTCACTCACGTTCATGTCATTGTCCGCTCCTCTCAAAAAAATCAATTACTGAGCGGTGTCAGATGCATCCATGCTTTCGTCTCAGGCTAATGAAAAAAAGTCGAACTCTACTCCTTTTGCCTCTGTCTCTTAATATCAGATGAAACGTCTTCAGTTCTCCGTACAACAGTGTTATGAGCCAGGCAAACATTGGCAAACTCTTGCTTCTTCTCAGGACAAATTTTCTCCACCATTTTCATCACGCAGTCTTTAATAAATTTACCCTCAGTAAAAGGTTTGCAGTGCTTGGCAATCAGTGTTGCCACCTTGTAGCTCGCCTTTGTGGCATTTTCATTTGACTCACAGGCTCTTGTGAAAAAGCGTTGCTGTGCCGTTAAAGCAGCTTCCAGTTCCTTCAATTTTTCACCACGTTCGTTCCCAGTTAGCTTGTTGTAGTTAGCATGTTTCGTCTGGTAGTGCCTCTTGATACTGAATTCTTTGAAAACAGCCACAGTCTCTTGGCAAATTAGGCAGACACAGTTGTTTCATATTTCTGTGAAAAAATACTCCAATTTCCACTTGTCCTGGAAGCGGCAGCCCTCGCTGTCAACTTTCCTTTTTTTAATTACAGTCGCCATTTTAGAAATGGGCACACAAGCCTTGTGTCACAAGGGTCACGCGGCGAGAGTGCTGACTCAGGTCTACTGCCATCTTCTGGTGAAATATAACCACCAGCCTTGAAGGAGCAGGAGGCAGCAGGGGACAGCTGCGGGAACCGCTGTGCGGTGAAGGAAAAAATGCTGGCCAGCGAGGATGAGTGACAGGCTGAGCCCGTGGGGAGAAGAGGCTGCAGGCCACTCAAAATTTGAAAACAGGCCGCAATTGGCCCCTGGGCCAGACTTTGGACATGCCTGCTTTAGGGTACAGTTAAGTTTTGAGTGTGATTTATAAAACATGTATCCTTGAACATCTGCTTAATCTGAGTTATGTCCTTGAGTTCTTTCCCTTTTTTGTCCTCTGTAAGCTGTTCAGAGACTTTTAGTAATGGGACAGCATAGAAAAACTTTAAATAAATAAAGTAATATCTGTTCTGGTGTTCTTGCTTAAAAGACTCTATCCTCTGAAAATTATCTTGCATTCCACAAATGCTACAGTTCTTATATATTCAAGTAAACCCTACAACTCTACTTTTTCAAGTTGTCAATTTCTATTATATACACATCTATGTTATAATCATCATCATCATCATCATCATCATCTAGTCTATGGCTTTCAGTTTTTTATGCTACATATTGTTGCTGACAAGTGGCACAGAAGGGATATTTACCAATAGACTTTACACAGGCAATCCTGAAACAGAGACCTAGAAAACAACAGACAATCAAAATTGAATGCCCTTATTCAGGGCATATGACCTATTCACTGTTTTTTAGCCTTCCAGCCACAACTGCTTGTTTTTATGAGAAGTAAACAAGCATCCTATAATTTTTTGTGCAAAACTGTTACCCTCCAATCCTAACCACTTTCAGTCATTCAACCCAAAGACAATTCAGAACAAAAAACAATGCCTACAGCCATGATCTTAATTTTTGACTAAGGAACATCCCAGTAATTCAAAGTAACAGAACTGACAATATTGGTGCAGTGAACTTCCACTTAAGAGCAATTATATTGATTTTTAATTAAGAAGCACAGCTAAGTCAAAGGCTCCTTGCCTGTAACCCATGATTCAACTTAGACACTGCCAAACAGCAGTATGCAGTAACCACAACACATAACTTATGCCACGGTTTGAATTACCATATACAACACAAGACAAGGACAATACAGAGCTGCTTTCTGCTTTCTTTTTTGTATTTGTTCAGCTTCGTACATATGTACAATAACTCCTTTTTTCATGCAGTAGCTGCCTCTTGGAAGTGGACTTATGGCCATTAATTATAATTAATCAAATCACATGTCAAGACAAACATAGTTAGCACAAACTGTATATTACACATATACACTACAAAACTCTTGTTTGTTACCACCTGGCATATCAGAACCAATGATTTGTTGATTTAGATATCACACCAGACTGTAAGGCATTATTTCCATTTGACAGGGCAGTGATCCTGAATGCACATTTAAAAGGTATGTAAGAAATTTTGTCAACACATACTAAAAATGTTGCTGAGAGAAACAAGAGATTGCACATACAGTACATTAAAAAATGTGACTAACTGGCTGAAAATATTTGGCTAAACTTGGTCAGTTTTTTCTGCCATTTACAAGAAGAGAAAAAGATGAATCCGAATTTTCATCCTTCACTTTTATTAAATTTGTATTCTACTTTTTCTCCTATGAGAATGTCTTAGCACTGTAGAGAAACTGATTTTTCCAGTACTCCCAACTTATCAGCTCTTATTAATTACTTAATTAAAGCATTATTTTAAAAAGGAAAGAAACTAAAATCAGTAGATAAGAACCTATAAGATCTTTCATTTTCGATTCATTTTCTTGACATCTACAATAGCTATTAAAACAATCACAAGTGTCTAAACCTTAGATTATAGCAAAGTACATAATAAATCAGTCTACAATCACTGTCCAAAACCTGCATCAATAGGAAACCTGCATTGTGAAACATTTAAACGACTTAAAAGCAGTAAGCAATAGACATTTTGTTACTATGGTTCATTTAAAAAACAATTCTTTTAAAATTAGTTAAATGTTAATGAAATTTTTAAAATTAATTTTAAAATTAAAATTATTTCTTTGAATGCAGTGTTAAACCAGGAGATTCTTTGAGAGTGAACATAAACTTGATAGAAGTCCTCCTGTTGACAGTACAGTAGGAGTGCAAGAGTCAATGCTTCACAGGCTCCAGCAGACAGCATTAAACAATGGTTTGGTGTTACATGTGAACACAGCTATTCCATTTTAGATTAAGTGAGATTTACACACAGTGTTCAAAGGCATAGCAATTTTCGTTGGGCATCATGAATCAGAATTT